ACATGATTCAAATTCAATCACTGGAAAGTTGTTGCATAATGCTCAGGTGACCTATAAGGCCCATGGGCCTATTGTTTTTAATTTAATCTGTTTGTTTTTTTAAATAATAAAACTTGACTTATTGGTGTTATTTACAATTTGTTTTGTTAATTCTCTGTATAAGAAATCAAACATATGTAGCCCTTTAATTTGGAGAATCCGTAGATTTTTCGACTTCCAAGAAAAGCATATCGATCGAACACGAAGTGGATCGACCTCATATATAACATACATGTATAAAATATACAAATATTTTTTTTCTCCATTTTTTAAACAGGTTACCTATAATGACACCGGAAGCTATGTGTGTTTGTTGGGAAATGGTATCGCTAATTTGAAAGGGGAAGTAAATCAAACTGCAAAGGTAGATCTGGTCGTACAAGGTAATTTTCAATTTGTATTTGTTTTAAATCGTTATTTCCATATATTTTCTTTACAAACGTTCACAATTTTAGCAGTATAATAAACTACTTGTAGTATAATAATCTCTCATTTTCACGCGGACGTTAGGGAAACCACGTATCCTCCATGCATTACCTGAGTATCATTGTACAGTCGGAAAGAATTTTAGTTTACAATTCGAAATTATTGGACATCCATCTGTTCATTCTTCAATTATTGTCAAAAACGGAGAAACTGGTCATCAGTTTAGAAAAGTAGACACAAAACGCCCAGTTTCTGTTAACATTTATAACATAGCTGTCAATATAGATGGGATGGTTGTGGAAATGGATTTTAATCAAATAAAGAACAAGTTCAGAACAACCTACCAACTGATTGCAGAAAATTCCATGGGGAGAACAACAAACACATTTGTGATTGAAGGACACGGTAAGAACATATTATTTATTTCAAAAGGATGTCTGATATTAACTTTGACTTGCTTATTTTAAAATAGTATTAAAAACCAGAAGTCTCTGTCGAGACTGTAGCTCTACTGGTTTATACTTAAAACAAAGCAATAGAAATGTAGCAGTTGGGACTTGAAAATTTAAAAAAGCAATAAAAAGAAAAATGATGCTTGCTGCTCATCAAAATAAAAACCTATGCAAAGTATTATGTATCTTAGTATAGTCTACTTGTGTGCTAAGTTAAAATGAAATCAGACTAAAACTGTAGGAGGAGTAGCATTTTGAAAGAATTTCAAAGAAATTTCTATTTTTAGTAACAACACCAACATCGTTCGTCGAAATCAAAAACCGATAGATAGAATTATGTATATTAGTGTAGTCTACTTGTGTGCCAAGTTACATTGAAATCAGACCAAAATTGTAGGAGCAGTAGCATTTTGAAAGAATTTCAAAGAAATTTCTATTTTTAGTAACAACGCCAACACCGTTCGTCGAAATCAAAAACCGATATACAGAATTATGTATATAAGTGTAGTCTACTTGTGTGCCAAGTCATATTGAAATCAGACCAAAACTGTAGGAGCAGTAGCATTTTGAAAGAATTTCAAAGAAATTTCTATTTTTAGTAACAACGCCAACACCGTTCATCGAAATCAAAAACCGATACACAGAATTATGAATCTTAGTGTAGTCTACTTGTGTGCCAAGTCATATTGAAATCAGACTAAAACTGTAGGAGGAGTAGCATTTTGAAAGAATTTCACAGAAATTTCTATTTTTAGTAACAACGCCAACACCGTTTGTCGAAATCCAAAACCCATATACAGAATTATGTATCTTAGTGTAGGCTACTTGTGTGTCAAGTTAAATTGAAATCAGATCAAAACTGTAGGAGGAGTAGCATTTTGAAAGAATTTCAAAGAAATTTCTATTTTTAGTAACAACGCCAACACCGTTCGTCGAAATCCAAAACCCATACACAGAATTATGTATCTTAGTGTAGTCTACTTGTGTGCCAAGTTATATTGAAATCAGACTAAAACTGTAGGAGGAGTAGCATTTTGAAAGAATTTCACAGAAATTTCTATTTTTAGTAACAACGCCAACACCGTTCGTCGAAATCCAAAACCCATACACAGAATTATGTATCTTAGTGTAGGCTACTTGTGTGTCAAGTTATATTGAAATCAGATCAAAACTATAGGAGGAGTAGCATTTTGAAAAATTGTTTACAGACAGACAGACAGACAGACAGACGGACAGACGGACGGACGCCGGACGCATTACTATCGCATAAGCTCTTCTGGTCTCTGACCAGTAGAGCTAACAACTAAAATATATATTTTTAATTTTTAGATTTTCCAATTGAACCTTTTCATATTCATTTTAAAGAATTTGAATCTTCTGCTCTACTTGAGTGGTCTGCCCTTACTCCAGATTTGGACATGACATATGAAGCCATTGTAAACAAGTCCTCAAGAGATGTTACTATTGACCGCATTGAAGGAAATAATTTTGATTTGTATGAACACAAGTTGAAGGATTTGGAAATAAATTCTATTTACATTCTTCAGTTGTGTACAACTAATGCAATTGGTAAAAATTGTAGTTCAACATTTAAAATCAAAACGAATGAACTGCAGTCTTCATCATGTAAAGGTACAACCTATTATTTTTTAACTTTTTGCGTTTTATTTCCAAATTCTTATCTTATTTCTGTGAAAAAGAATATTTAAAAGGGCAAATGAACTTCCTGCACTGTTAATTAATTGTGTTTCCATGGTAATAGCTTGTGCTTCAGTGGTAAAAATCCACTTCTTTCCATCCAGTGCATTCCGGAAAATAAGCATATTATGAGTTTTTTACCCCATCTTTGGACTTTCAGTAGGGCGTGACTTTCTCGGCGCTACGTAAAAGCGAATACTAGTAGATTCTCATTGGTTACGAAATTAATAACATCAGGAACTTTAAATTGTCGTTGATAACGATGAGACGACTTATGCCCCACCTCTGTGTCGTGAGAGAACTTTTAATTGGCTATTTACTACACCAATTGACATTCGGCCGCATCTCTATCACATGTATATTTCAACAGTGATGGGAAGCTGTGTAAATTTCAGAAGATAATTCGGTAACGTCGAGAATGCCACGCCTTACTGAAAGTCCAAACTAAGCCTGTAATGGTAATAAAAAGTATTCAATGTTAAAAATGTTTCTACTTTCGAATTTGACTATGATACTATCATTCCAATTTCAGCGTGTCACTTTGCTTAACCGAGCGTGGTAAAGTTACACATTACTCATCGATTGGATGTTTGATTTCAATGAAAGCAACACTACTTTGCATATGAAATACAGAACCCAGCAATACCACTTACAATACTGACCAATCGTATTGAAATGATTGTTCACGTGAATGCAGTAAACAATAATCACATGTGGACAGGCAAAGCGAGTTTTTAACCTTGTAATGATGGAATTGATCGCTATATACAATATAATATAAATATTATAATAGTTCCAAAGTATAGCCTTACTTATTTCATGTTTTAAATATTGTCATTCGTATCAAAATTAACTCTATTCGGAAAAATCTCAAGGAATATGGCACGTGCTTTTTGCTGGACAGTAAACGGGCTTTGATTGACCACGTGTTACCGGTGACTACAAATACCGCGCTGGAAAACAATCATTCAATACGATTGGTCAGTGTTATCGGGGTATTGTTGGATTCTGTTTTTTATATGCAAAGTAGTATTGATTTCATTCAAACCAAACATCCAATCGATGAATGATATGGTAATCAATTTGTGAAATTTTTACCACGGTCGATCAAGCAAAGTGACACGCTGTTATTGGAATGATAGTATCTTTTTTATAATTTAAAGTTTCAGCCAATGAAATGTCGTTGTCAGAGACTACCTTGATAGTCATTGTCGTTATTGGCGGTGTCGGCTTCGTGTCGATCCTTGTCTTTATTCTGATCGTCAGAAAACGAAAACTGAAAAACAGAAGTAAGAACTTCGTTGCAATTTTGTAGCATAGAATAAAATTTTAAAAAAAAATTAAATTTGAACTATAGTAATCGGTTGTATTTATAAAATTTCAGATTCAAGACGTCTTTTCTTTGAAAGGTAAAGGATAACATTCATATATTTTAAACACTATTTATATGTTAAGAATTATTCATTTAACATTTTTGACTCATCTGAGGTATATTGGTTTTTATATTTTATACATTTGACAGAGATTTTGGCTGGCCCTTTGACGATAATAGATTTTCAGAAATAATAAAATTCAGGGAGAAATGAAAAGAAACCGGTTAAAATCTATGATTTATAAATAAATATTGTTATAACACGAGGAAAGAAGATATTGCGAACCACTATGTCGATTTCAAAATTTGCCACAAAGGGCAGATTATGTAACCAGAAGCATTAAAATTTCCCTTGAATATGTACCAAAGATGTTTTAAAAATAGAATTATTATAATTTTCATTAAACAGTCAACAAGAATATCCCAAAACACAAAGAAAAGACACCTGTTCAAAAAGTCGGCAATATTTGTTTCATATTCAATTGTTTTGTTTTACTGTAATTAACAAATAAACATCTATACTATTTTGACGTCAGTTTCATGGTTCTGTTATTATTACTCTAGGTATAATGAATCAATTGGGAGAAACAGCAACTCAACGCATAAGATGACAAATGGTAAACATTACCCTTATTGATAAAAATATATATCTTTTGTTTCTAATTTCTTTGAATATTTTGATAAAAATTGATAAATTTATTGGTTTAATGTTTTACTCATAAATGGAGACATTTCATTTTGTAAAAATTATTTTTGGCTTTTTTAGCTAAACCTCATTCACCTTGTTTATAGTTGATATTTTAACTTTTGCAATATTATCCGTATTACTTGTAACATAACCTTAACTTTGTTTTACCGTGTTAATATCGAAGAGTCTGGACTACAAAGTCTGCAAAACTTAACCTGTACAGTAGTACAACTAACCCCACTAACAGTGAAGTGTCATTACAGTCAATATACGCGCTAATATACCACACACACGTCTGTGTGAAATTTAGACCAAGATGTCCCAATTAAAGCGAATCTTATTCAATTACTTTTGTTTGTTTTGTTTTGTTTTGTTTTTTTTTTTTGGCAACAGACTTCAGTTAAATTTAGATAATTTTTTTCGGCATTAGTATATTAAAATATAAATGGTTTAACTTTGAGAAGTTGAGGAACTGTGTTTTGTAAGTTTTTTTTATTCCAAACATTTCAATTACAACACTTTACATGGCCTGGATATCGACTATCTGAATAATAATCCCCCTTCGTGTTCATGTTCTTCTTCGCCCTATAACTATAGTCCTGCTGGACACGTTATTACATGTGACGTAAATATAGTTCGTAATGAGGCCCTTAGATCACTTATTTTAAAAGGTCCTAAATATAGGGAACCCCGATCCTTCAACTGGCGTCGGAATTTCATAAATATTATGGATTCTGTTGAAAATTACGCCAGACGATGGGCCAGATATGAAAAAGAAGACACTGACACCTTGTAAGAATGGATTAAATGTATCAGATCCATGTTAAAGTCACGTATCCAAAAATTGAGGGGCAAAATGAAAACCATCTATCCTTCTGTGTTCAATAAACCAGAAGTGAAAAGAGAATTAGATAGATTACACGATCAGTACGTACTGGTTCCTGCCGACAAAGCAAGTAACAACATTGTCTTCGTTTGTAAAGCTCATTATATAAATTTCATTCTAGAGGAACTTGGATTTAATTCTATTAGTGGTAATCCTACTTATACTTCTACTTCTCTTTCTAAGGAAGAAATTCTTCAAAATCACCTGTCAGTTTTGAATACTTTTAATATTCCACAGAGCCAAAATGAATTTGAACTACCTTATATATATTGGATTCCGAAACTTCATAAGAATCCTTACAAACAAAGATAGATTGCAGGTTCCAGTTAATGTTCAACCAAGCCTCTTTCGTTACTTCTCACTAAAATATTGATAGTAGTAAAGGAAAAACTTCAAGAGTACTGTGCAACTATATATTCAAGAAGTGGTGTAAATCAGATGTGGATACTTAAAAATTCTAAAGAATTTTTGGATAATTTGAAATCACAAGACTTTACAAAAATCAACAGATTAAAAACTTAGGACTTTTCAACTTTATACACAACGATTCCCCATGACAAATTAAAATCCAGGTTTTTTGATATCATTGACAGCTGCTTCTTCAACAAAAATGGAACTCGTAAATTTACTTACCTCGTCATTGGTCATTTGAAAAATTGATTTGTTAAAACAGATTCTGATTGCACACATAAGTTCTCTGAAGTTGACATCAAGAAGATGCTTGAGTTTCTGATTGACAATATCTATGTGGTTTTTGGAGACTAGGTATTCCAACAATCTATTTGAATTCCCATGGGCACAAATTGCGCTTCGTTATTAGCAGACTTATTTTTATATTCATATGAAGCAGAATTTATGCAAAATCTTATGCGTGAAAAGAAGAAAACACTTGGCCTTCCACTCGACATTTAGATATATCGACGACGTATTGTCAATTAATAATGATAATTTCCATTCCTACGTCGATACGATATATCCTGGTGAGCTTGAGATAAAAGATACCACAGAGTCCGACACTTCTGCTTCATACTTGGATATTTTACTTGAAAAAGACACTAATGGTAATCTAACAACCAAGCTATATGATAAACGTGATGACTCCAACTTTTCTATCTTCAACTTCCCTTTCTTATGCAGCAATATACCTTCATCACCTGCATACGGAGTATATATATCTCAGTTGATTCGATACGCAAGAGCGTGCTCTACGCATGAACAATTTCTTAAACGAGGTAAATTATTGACAAGCAAGTTGATGAAACAAGAATATCAACAGTCTCGTTTAAACTCATCATTTCGTAAGTTCTATGGTCGATACAATGAGCTTGTCAGCAAATACAATTTATCATTGAGTCAAATGATGACTGACGTTTTTTATACCAATTGTTAGTCCATTATTTATACACTGAATTGACGACGGATTTTTTCCGTTATTTCCTGATCATGACAACGAGCACAATGCGGGTGTGACCGGTCGGCAGGGGATGCTCACTCCTCCATGGCACCTGATCCCACCTCTGATGTTTCGGAGGTCCGTGTTTGCTCTGCTCTTATCTTCTATATTGTTTAATGGGCGTTGAGATTGAATACTGTTCGTTATCTCCATATCCTCCTTTAACATTGATATCATACTTGATGCAATACCTGATATCATGTATTACAAGATTTATTAATTCATTTTCGGGTGAAACACAATATAGGGGACAGTAAGGTTGCACTTGGGGGTAAAAAATTAATGTCTTCGTTTTGCCCCAAAAACATTTTTTCTAAAAAGTAGAGTATCGTAAGGATCTCAAGCATAAACGGTTTTGTGAAATTCACATTAGAACTTTGATTTTTACAAGCTGATAATAACATCATTTTCACAGGTTACGGACACTACAAGTGTTGTTTTCTTTGAAATAAATATTAAAAACTGTTTATAAGCTCTAATTTTTTCAATTGCTTACAAACAAAGAACATATACAGTATAATTTGTGCAAACCGGCTACCGCCGGTTCCATAAAATTTGGCCGGTTTAGACAGAATCCGGAGTGCAGGAAAAATGCAAGTTCATTATTATACATAATATAAAATATAATTAAATGATGAAGTCAATCAATATTTTGGAGTCTAGAAATTATAAAATAGTCTCTTATTACTTACTGTATCATGTGTATTTTCTTGTTTTTCACGAAGTTTGAAAGTCGGGTGAAATGTAACCTAAATCAAAATCTACAGGAACGCATAATATAGGCCTACTATATATCAAGCGAATCATGTTTCGTTGTCAAAAAGCTCATTCAGTGTAAAGACAGTAATGCACAATTATTTACGATGTGCTAATTATTAGATTGAACTTTTAATTTTTATGTAAAAAATTATGTCTTCCCCCACAGTGTTATTGTCGCCATTTTGAAATGCGTCCGATTTTCGATCCCGATTTATATATTGATTTGTAAATCGCTTACATATTTATTTTTTTGTTATAATGTGGTAAAAGGATCGAGTTAGATCTAAAACAAAATTATTTTTTTTTAATTGTAATTCAATCATATACTATTAATTTTTTTTTTTCAAATGAACTGTGTCACCGCCGCGTTTCACTGAGTTCGTTTCATGGCACTAATGTAAACACAGATTATCAAATCCACCACGAAAGGTGTTAATTGCTTTGAAGTAACTCAGGTGTGGCCGGATTAGAGGAAATAATTACCGTTAATTATGAGCAGTTGGGACCAGTATAGCCGTTCGGAATACAGAATAGACAGTATCCGGACCACACAGAACTTTTTCTAATGAATTTGTTAAAGAAGTGCATGGGACTAAAATTTATAGACGGAATGGACAAAAATCCGGAGTACTCAGAGTCCGGATTAGACAAATTTTACTGTATAAATACAAAATAAGGACAAAATTTTGACTAAAAAGGTGACATTGTACTTTAAAATTTAAACAGTTCTTACTTCGTACATTTTTGTTCGAAATGGTAGTATTTCATTTCATGTGAACTCTTTAAAACCAATATAAAGAAAAAACTATTTATAAATAACACTTTTTATGCGTTTGGTGAGATATAAATACTTCCATTAAAATAGGACATTTCATTTTCATAAATTTTCTAAAATTATTTGATAGCTTCATTAAGTTACGGACACTACAAAACCCAAATATTTATGATTGGCATTTGGTTTGTGGTAAAAAAACATTTTATGAACTTCTGAACTATTATAAATCAGATTTAAATGATTATTAAATACAAAGTATATACAAATTAGATATTGTTTCAAGTAAAAACAATTTACTTGCAGAACTAATGCCAATAGAAAAAAAAATCCACTTTAGGAAATCCTGAAACTTCCTTCTTTCACATAACTACATGTATTTATT